GGATACTCTTCGTGAAATCGTTCCCATAAAGCCTCTTAAAGCGTGTAGATCTCGGTGGTCGCCGTATCATTAAAAATAATTTAGGCTTAGGAACGTTTTTATGGGTAAAATTACCCTTCCGACATTTTGCTTCAAGATACCGTTTTTCGTATTTTTCACTCCTTACTTGTTTTGCCTCGTCGGGCTGACTTGGGTTTATCAAATTTTAACAATTATCTGCACCAAATTTAATTAGGTTTAACTACAGTATGTACGTACGTACGTATTTTTTTTTGATCATAAATCAAGTCTATATTTGGTAATTAAATTTAACGACGTACATACGGGCTTTACTTATTTGTGCCTAAACCAAAAAAGGAAGCGGAGTGAATTTGAAATTTATTAAATATCAGGGTTAGGGTAAAATTATCTCCCCGACATTTTTTGTTAATGCACAAAAGTAGATTTGGGCTACCGTTTCTTGTATTTTCTTCATTTATCTCTTGTTTTGCTTCGCCGGGCCGATCCGGAATACCTAAAATTCGTGTTCTCTTATTGGCCATTTCCTTTTTAGAGGTTTCTATTACCGTCACAAATAAGTAAAGCCCATGTTAAACGTTACTATGTTGTACAGAAATTGAGGCTAAGATCCCTAAATTGTTAGGGTGTACAACATCGGTCTAATTACAAACATATGATATAGCGATGATCACTAATCAAGATTTTTTATAGTAAAAAATTTTCCGATCGATTTTTAATAAGAAATATCTTTTATGACGGTTTGCAAAAAGGGTGTGACCCTGTGATTTCGTGAGATGTGAAAAAATTTTCGAGATTTTAATTCCCTATTGATCATAATTTCGATCAATAACGTTTATATGATATTCGGAATCTTTAAAATTCTTTAAGAATCGAAAAATCTGCTAGAATCGGCTGATTTTTCGCGATTTTACACGACATTATGATCTACAGAGGTTACACCTTTTTGCAAATATTCACTTCCAGATTTTCACTCTCACGCACTCATATGCACTAAGTTTATAATTAGACCGATGTTGTACACTCTACTAAATTATATACATACGTACGTACGTGCGTATTTGGTCTACAGATCTTATTTTTGATCACTAAATCAAATCTAAATTTGACAATTATTTTATAGCAAATATGGTACAGAGATCCCTATAACAATACTGGTACTGGTTTAACGTACAGTACGTATGTATGTACATATGTATTTGGTCTATAGATCTTATTTTGGCAAATAAATTCAAATATTTGATTTAACTATAGAACTATTGTTCATGACTTTATTATTGCTCAATCAGATGACTTTATTTGGACAAACATATAGGAATTCAGTTGGCTATCATTACAAGCACTATATCATACATATTTGAGTATATAGACTCTATGAAAATGTTCAAATCCGAAGCTAACCATCCGACTTATAATTTATTGCATCTTGTATGAAAATATAGCCAAGAAATCACATAGCTGTAACAAGAATCAATTATTAGTATTATGTAGCGACGTGAGTGTTATTACTTACCCATAGGTCCTTGCACTGCTATTGCAGCCGTGGAGCCTAATCACAACATAAGGCCCTTGCTAGAGTTGGGCACCGAAACTTTTTTTGCAAAATCTGAAAGTTTCGGGTTTCTGATTATAGTTCCTATCCGAAACCCTGAAACCTCATCTTAAACCCAAATCCAAAACCATTAAAACTTAATATTTGTTCGTTCTAATAAATTATGATCAAGCTAATATGTTGTTGCTATTTTGTACATCAGAAATAATTTAGTATAGATATGGTTGTAGTTAAAAATCGATTATAAATATGATATTGATATAAATGCTACGTAAGCTATTAATAAATATGAACGATTTTTTGTACATATAATAATAAACCCGAATAAATAATTAGATAGATATCATTGAAATTAATCTTATTCTACAATCAATAAACATAATATATATCTATTATTTAAATAAATTTATAAATCATTTTTTGGATTTTTAAAAAAATTTAAATTTTTATTTTTTATCTTTTTTTAAACTTCACTGCAAGTGGTTATCACTGCTCTGGAATTTTGAATTTTTTTAATAAATCCAAAATTAGTTTCAGATTAAGACCTTTTGGAAACTAGTTTCAGGTAGGTTTCGTTTCGTTGCCCAACTCTAGTCCTTGCACTGCTATCGCAGCCGCAGAGCCTAATAATCAACCTTGCACTACTACTGTAGCCGCGGAGTCTAACTAAGCATGAGGTCCTTACACTGCTATCGCAGCCGCGAAGCCTGATCATCAACTTGAGGTCTTGCACTACTATTGAAGCCACGGAGCCTAATTACAACATGAGGTCCTTGCACTGCTATCGCAGCCGCGGAGCCTGATCATCAACTTGAGGTCCTTGCACTACTATTGAAGCCACGGAGCCTAATTACAACATGAGGTCCTTGCACTGCTATCGCAGCCATGGAGCCTGACCGTTAAAATGAGGTCCCTACACTACTATTGTAGCCATGGAGCCTAATTACAGCATGAGGTCCTTGCGCTGCTATCATAGCCGCGGAGCCTGATCATCAAATTGAGGTCCTTGTACTACTACTATAGCCGTGGATCCTAATTATGACATGATGACCTTGCACTGATGTCACAGCATCATCAATGTGAGATACCTGCACTGTTATGTAGGGATGGGGAAGTTTGATTTGGTTTGTTTTGGTTTAATTCATGATCCGCATGTGAACCAGTGATCTACAATAATAAAAATTGGCGATAATCTACATATACAACTTTACTCAATTTTCGAATCTACGTGTTCCCAATATAAAAAAAATTATTTTTAATATATTTAATATTACTTTTTTAAAAAAAACA